ACAAGGTTTATTTTGATATCCTACTAGATGAATTAGCAGATTTATAATTTATGTTTGTTGTTATATATATTGACTTATTACTATTTAAATCTTTAAATTGTCCCACAGTTATGTTAAAGACACGCGGTAAACAAGAAGTTGGTGACAGAATTTTATTATCAAGACAAAGAATTTTATTATCAAGAAACTGTAAGTTAATTCCAAATTGATTTAATATTGTGTTTTTTGACAATCTTAAATAAAGTTATAATATACAGTTACAGTTTAATATTGATAACATAGGTCATCTGATTACTATGGAACTCACATATATATTTGATTTGATTGACAACTGCTTTAAAACTGACGAGATTTGGACAAGTTTTCTCTCGCCTTTCAACGAAGAAGGAATTTTAATAAATCTCTCTCATTATGAACAAGCGTCTCCATATTATCAGATATAAAATTGTTTGTATTCGCTGTGGCTTTAAGATAACACTATTATTATAACATGTAGGGATAGTTCGCTCATCACAATCGCTAATTTTGATATACCAATTTAATTAATTTAGTTTATGTGAAGGTAGATTGATTATTGTACTGAAGAAGACTAAGTAAGTCGAAACGTTTATCTTAAGATGATGTACAAATTTAAGTTCAAATTTTAATTTATGTAAGAATTTAAGTTCAAGATTTACTAATAAATTTGAATTTATTTTATCACACCTATTTGTTTGCTCGTAAGTTGGTCTTATATTGTATTGTTTTAATTGTTGTATTGCATATAACGACCCTTTTTGTGTTTTGATTTTAATCTTAATTAATTGTATCATTCTAGTTTCTCATTTGAAAAGGACCAAACAACAGATGGTCGAAACGTTGTGGAAATAAAATAAAAATTTTCTTTGGCTAGTTTGGGTCGAATTTAATATATCGTTTCTATTTTAAATATCACTAGCAACGTTTTAAGTACTCAATTTGATTTTTAAATATTAATTATAATTATCACGTGGACTTCAAAGTCTTTACCCAACACTAACCCTATTATTAATTTGCACAATTCTTTAATATAAATATCATTTTTGAAAAAATACAATATTTTTCGGAAATGGTTTCAATAGTGGTTTTTTGATACTAATTTAGAAAAAATCAGTCAATAAATGTATGAGTACATAGATGGGTGGGTGCAGGGATGTAAAACTTTAAAAATTCACCATTGTCGTCATTCCCGAAAAATTTTAAAAATTTTGATACAAATTTCGTGAAAAAGTCAATTAATAAATTTGTAAATGCGTGGGTGGATACGTGAGTAGGTTGGTGGATTTGTAAACTTTTAAAATAACTTTTTTTTAAAAATACATACACACATTTTTTCGGAAATGGTAACGATAGTGGGGGTGTAAAACTTAAAAAAATCGCCATCGTTGTCATCCCCGAAAAATTTGCAAAATTTTGGCACCAATTTCGAGGAAATCGGTCTATTAATGAAGGTATGCGTGGGTGGGTGTGTGGGTAGGTGGATAGAGTTGTAAAAATTTTTTAAAATTATTAATAACTATCCCTGACAAATTTCAAAAATTTTGGAACCGATTTCGTGAAAAAAGGTCCATAAATGTGTTGGTGCGTGGGTGGGGGTATCAATCTTAAAAAAACCACATCGTCACAATCCCCGGAAAATTTGCGAAATTTTGGTACCAATTTGGTAAAAATCGGTTCACAAATGTAAAAGTAGTTCGCGGTCAGACGGACAGACGGACGGTGCTTATATATATATATAGATAGATAAACACACTAGTGTATCATTTCGTAAAATACTGTGGGATAGAGCGTGAAAATTTTCACCCATTTTTTCGAGTCGCGGGATTTATCGCCGGATCTCGGGGATATCCGTAAACAATGGGGATCCGTTATAATTGCGAGCGATCGGTATAGCGACTCTCTCTCGTTCCTTTCGCGGACACTCTCACGAGCTTTCACACAAACACATACACGCAGTTAGTCTCTCCGATACCGTGCGACTAGTAAGTGTGACTATCGAGTTCTTCCTCTGTATCCGCGTATTTCTAAAATATATAATTATTTTGTTGTGACAAATAAATTATTTTGGACTCTTTAGTTTTAAACATATGTATAATCTATTCCATAATATTATTCACTACATCCTACATTATTTATTTGTTATTATTAAATTGTTATTATTTAATATTATTTATAATGTAGAATAAAAGTAGTTAGGGAGAATAAAAATTGCGTATAAAAAGGATAGTATCATAAGAAAAGCTGCAATATGACAAATCAGAACAAAATGATAAAACAAATCAAAACAAAATTTCTATTATAAAAATATCTTGATAGAAACATCATTTGGCAGAAAAATTCAATCAATTAAATCGATTAAAAACATTTTTTTAAACGATTAATCGACATTTCTATACGATAATTTACAAATTATGAGTTACTATCGATTTAAGATTATTAGGTTGTTTCATAAAATTTCTTTTGGCAGTCTATTTACTATTCTGCTCATTATCGATTTTTTTGCCTGATCATAAATCAGTATAAGATAACTTATGTTACCTGTATAAAGTTTACGCGCGAAATAATTTGTGAGGAATGGGAACAGAATTCGGATCGATGTTTTGTGCTTGTCACGCATCAAAAGGGCGACATGGAGTAACGCGACACTGAATTGTTCCGAAATGTTCGTTTCCTCAATTTCGAATTTCTCATCTTATAATCAGTTAAACAAAGTCTCGAGTTTCCCAAGTCAATGTTCGTAAAGCTTGCTTCGAAGATAGTTAAGGAAGATAGGATAAGATACTTATTTATTGTTAGTAGTGGAACAATATCTCTGATATTAATTTCATTTTTTATGCACTTGATAAATGAAATTCAAGATTAATATAAAAACAAAAATATGATAAATAGACTCTCTCTCTCTCTCTCTCTCTCTCTCTCTCTCTCTCTCCCGCTCTCCCCCTCTTTCTCTTTCTCCCTTCCTCTTTCTCTCCTCCTCTCTCTCTCCCCCTCCTTCCCCTCTCTTTCTCTCTTTCTCTCTAATAAAATTTAATAAATAAATAAATAGGTAAATATATTTCTAAAAAATTTTACGTTTTAATATATATGTATATTTATTGATTTATCTGCGTATATTGTACATCACAGAAATTTTTGTTTTTTATATACTTTTTATCTATTTGTACAATAAAAAAATTAAAAACATAATTTTTCCATTTTTTAAGTTTAAACAATATCCTACATATAATTCTAAATATTTATGTACATATAAACTTTTTTTATAAGCGCATATTTTAGATATAAATACACTTTCTGAATTAATTATTTTTTTAAGTAACCATCTGCGAAAGCGCGGACTTTTATCGTTTTGCATTATTATATCGAAGAGTTATACTTTTCTTGAGAACTGTTTCACATCTTGCAATTGTGTGATTAATACAACTGCGTCTGTGATTAATTTTTTTATTTACAATTTTCACAAATTTTTATATTTACATAAATAAAATCTCAATAAAATCTTTACTAAAGAAAAAAACACGCTAAGTATATGCAAATTTCGACATTATGTACAAACGTTTTTTAAAAATTTTTTGAAGTTTAAAAATAAGATTTAAAATATATTTAGAAATATATGTAGCGCAAAAGGAAATATAAAATCAAAGCTCAGCCAAGTATAAATAGTGTATTAATTTTGAAGATTATTATTTGATCTAATATAAAATTTATAAAAAAATCATCTTTGTATTTTTAAGAATGATCATCTGCATAGTCAAAACGACTTAGACCCGGATTGAAAAAATTAAAATAACGTATAAAAACTTGGCGTGTCCGAGTCGGGGCACTATTGCAAAACATAATAAACTGTACTAATATCTATTAGCAAATTTATGTACGTAACAAATAAAATTGTCTTTAACTGTCTGTACGTAAATCAATCAAATATAAATAAAATTCATTAAAAATTAGCTATAGTAAATTAAAAAATATACATTAAAATCTGACATACAATGAACTATATATGTATCAATAAATTATATAATAAGTAAAATTATGCAAATATTATGCAAATATATTCCGATAATTTGTACATATACCTTTTATATACATATTCTTCGAAATGTTTACTGATTGTATACATAACTAAAGCTGGTTACACACATAACCATAATCATAACGTAAGGGTTCGACCAATCGCATTGCTTGATTCAGTAATTCATACGCCAAATCAAGCAATGCAATTTATAGAATTCTTACGGTTATAATTACTGTTACGGAAAGTATATATGACCAGTTTAATAACGTGATGCACTTCATCTTTTTTGTAGTTTCCTTAGTTGATTGTTTCGTATTATATTTTTATGTATTATTCTTAAGTATTATTCTTGACTGACATTATAGTATCATTCGTATATATATCTCTATTGTCTCATATTAATAATGTCACAAGGCTCATATTAATAATGTCATAAGGCTATTTCCAAATATTCTGTTTACGGTTATGAGAATTCTATTATTAATTTTATATCAGAGGTCGCTGACAGATTTCTCGAATAGAGAGCTAAGTAGGATCGCTCTCATGATCAGTCTCTCATCTGACTTCGACACGAAACATTATCCGCACATCCAAGTACTCATAATAAATTAAAGTTTAATTTAATATCACGGTGTCTTAATTACATTAATATTAATTCGATTATCTTAAGAATCTGCCTACATCAAAAGAAGTAAGACAGAGATCGATATCTCGTTTGCGTCTCTCGAGGAGCAATATTACCAAAGAATTACACGCAAAATTCCAATAATGATTTATTCTAATAGCGTGTAAAGTGTAGTTACATATTTATCTCGCTCTCACATGTTTGTTTTTTTCGATAACATATATATTTCGGAAAACTCTCTATAATCTCTCAGTTTTCTTTTACTGTTTAATGAATCACTCATTGATGCGATGAGATTGATCGGAATCATTTATTTAGTGTTATTTTGTGGTCATCTTGATGTAGCACCGACAGATGTGATATCTGAACTAAACACACTCTTGAAGAAAATATTTTGGACTAGTTGGAATTGGCTGAACAACACAGAATTCAATCCCGATGTTATTCTCAACACGGTAAGTTTGCTTATAAAAACAAGGATAAAAATTTTCTTTATTTCGATAAGTTAATGAAATTTTTTCAATGACTATCAGAAAATGATCAAAAATGATCTTACGCCACAATTAAGTTGATTCTACATTGTTGTTAAGTTTTATTAAAAGAATTTAAAAAAAGTAAATTTTACAAAATTATACCTTGGCGTTAACTGCTTCTACAATGACATTTATAGCTTTCTTTCTAATTTTTTTAAACTCGACTTAAAATTCTATTGTTAATATTTTCTATGTTATTATTCTATTGTTGAGGGGCGACAGTCAAATTTCATCACATTGTGCCACATCTAAGCGCGCGAACTTTAAGTTATTTTATTCATTAACTCTAAGTGTTTCTAATTCAAAAATTATTATAGCCTGAATCAGGATTGGAAACGTTACTCTGTAAAAGTAACGTGTTATCGTTACCGTTACTTTTTGTAAAAAATAACTCGTTACCGTTATTCGTTACTAATTTTAAAAAGTAACGTGTTATTATTACTGTTATTTAAAAAGTAATGATTCGTTATTTTTTTGTTACTTTTTCATTGTTTTTGTTTTTTGTAATACTAAAAAGTAAGCTATTAAATTATAATGAACATTAAATATAATAATCTATGTTACAATTAAAAACTCTGAACTCTCTTTCTAGTCTCTATATAGCAAGCGTATATAGCATATATAGCATATATAGCATATATAGCAAGATAATAGGAACTAAAAAGTAACAATAAAAATAAAGACTAATTCGTTACCATTAGTATAAAAATGTAACGATGTTACCGTTACAGACAAAAAAGTAACGATTCTTACCGAAAAAAGTAACTGTAACGATAACGACATTACAAGTTACGCATTACTTACCAACTCTGGCCTAAATATTTTAATATTAATTGTAAGATATTTTTCTTAAAATAATCTAAAGAATTTACGCTTAAATGTTATTATTTACGATCTTTATGGAACATTCTGTATATGGTAATATTGTTTCTCTTTCTAACGACATATATTAAAAATTATTTAAAATAACTACCAATAAATACATAATTATGTATTTGAAATAGCCACTAAACTTATAATTGTGGTGATATAAGAGATAAAATATTAACAACTGTATAGTTTTCTTCTATTATTTTTAAAATAATTTTTATTAAGTTTTACGCTTTATCATACAAAAATACTTTGCTCTATAGTTTTGTAAATTATAATTACACGTTTAATTAAATATTATTAATGTTTATTTGATTTTTGTTTTAATTTATTTCATTTTATAATTATTTTTACTATAATTTATTATAATTATTATATAATTATTGTGCATATTAATAACATACACAGTACGTGCACTGTTTTATATAAACAGTGTGTGCACAGTTTTTACTTAAACATAGTTTTGGTATGATTTTTTTGACATGTAATATTTTAATTAATTATGACTTTTTCTACGTCTACACACCATGACACATTGTACACACGGTTTATACAGGCATCTGTCCACGCAACAAAATAAATTAATTTAACGTTTCATATATATATTTATCTTGTTCAATAATTTATATATTCTAAATATACGACTGAAAAAGACAAAAATAATTATCAAAACGTTTCATATTATGTATATATTTTTGAAAATAAAACATCAAAGATTTCAACATAAACTTATCGTTGCTCGTAAAAAAGGCTCAATTTCCACATAGAAGTATTTTTAAATTTATATTTACACACGAGCTTAATTTTGTATTATTCGTTTATTAAATTATTATACTTAACAAATTAATAAAAGAAAAGCCAACTAAAACGAGCTACCTTAATTCAGAATGTCAAATAAAATTTATTATTACACAGAACAGAAACACATCAAACAAGTTATTGCAACTGTATACGTTTCGACTGTACAACAGTCTTTTATCATACTTATACTTTTATTATACTTATTTTACTGCATAAATTTATTGCAATTTTAAATTACTCTTTTAAGAGTTTTCTTTCTTACTGATTCTTTTTTTAGCCGGAAATAATAAGAAGGGCAGGTTATCCCGTGGAGGTTCACATTATAATGACAGAGGACGGCTATCTCTTGACGTTACATCGTATTCCAGGTGGTAATGACTCTCTACCTGTGCTATTGCAACACGGTCTTTTTTGCACATCTGTTGTCTGGACTATTCTTGGCAAAGAAAGAGCACTTGGTACGATCATGTAAATAAAGTATTGAACATAAGCACATGTTAAATTGATAATTTTGGAAAAGAGCGCGTTCATCTGATCCAATACGATAAGTACACGTGAATAATAGCGCTGTCTAAATTGTTTTATTTTCGCTTCTGTGAGCTCAGGCACTCGTTATACATATATAAGAACATCATCGAGTACGAACATATGTACGTTAAGATAATTGATAAAGACGTTGAAAGTTTCTTTTATTAATTAGAATATTTGTAATTTTTGCTCTATATAAGTTGTGTATTTTTTTTCGCTTATTGAATAATTTCGACTTATCTAAAAAAAATTAACATTATAATTAACAAAAATTCTGTTCATGTAGAGATCACGCAATCGCGAACATTCCTTTCTATTTCGCATTTTACTGCGAAGAACTCTTACTTTCTAACATAATGCTTAAGAGATATTCAGTATCGTTTATCAGATCCATTAATGATTTCACTTTCATTAGAAAACTATCTAAGAGGAAAATCTCGAATATAAATGCCGAAAAAACTTTTTATTGCACTATTAATTGTACTATGTTTTAGAGAGTGTCCAAATATTTTATAAAAATTTTAAAAATATAAAATTTCTAAAAGGCCGTAGCCAGATAAGAAGGGCCAATCTGCACGGATCATGCTCATTTTTTTGCTTTGATTACTATCAGTGTCACTTTAACAATTTAACCAAATATTAGTCCTTAATATGGAGCCGTTTTGGTGTAAAAAATAATAGTAAAAATTTCGAAAATAATTAATATCTTTTGATTGGCTTAATCGATTTTAATAAAATTAAAATATGTTGTAGATATTATTGACACACATTTATGGAAAATTCGGGAAAAATTTCTGATGACAGAAACATTGATTTAAAAAATAAATAAATGTTCTTACTTTTTATTAGTCCCGATTCTTTCTGGTACAATTACGAAGAATTTTTTATAGAATCTTGAAATAGTTTCAGCATCAGACATTTTTTGAAAGCAATAAAATGGGTAAGTGGTACTTTTAAAAAGTAAAGTATTCTTTTTTATTTTGTTAAAATATGATACGCCTTTGGTACAATCGCCATATATTTTTTGTAGAATTTTGGGATAATATTCTACAACTAGTAATTTTTTTGAACCAATAAAATGAGTAGGCAATACTTCTTAAAAAATAAAATATTTTTTTAATTTTTTAAAATATTATATGCTTTTGATACGATCACCATATATTTCTTTTGTAGAATTTTGAGATAATATTCTCCAACAAGTAATTTTTTTGAACCAATAAAATTGCAAACACTGTGAACATAAATTCAGTAAATATTTGCCAACATCAGTTCGCAGACTATATTGACAAAGTGGCAATGAGTAACAAGTAGTCAAAATCGTTGATAAAAAATTGATGCCAGAAGCGCAGCAGATCCTGCAGATCTGTTGAAACGTTAAATTGACAACAAAAAGCACACAGATGTGCAATAATTTAAAAGATTATATACTTTTTTTCAAAATATGATTTGACTAACAAAAATATACATTTATGCATTATAATAGATTATTTTTACTTATTATGAATTATTAAATGTTTTTTATTTGCTTTTTCTTTTTTACTTATTTACTTAATTATTTTCAGCGACTTTTTGCATATTTTTCTCGCCTATTTTTCCATATGTAAGTTCGAGGTTAATTAATATATAGAATTTAGTAATTTTAAACCAAGAGATACAGTTCCGAAAAATTAATTTTCGCGCTTGGCTCTATTGGCCGATTTTAATATCATATTTATATTGTTGTTAATTATTTTTCTTCAATTTGCTGAGCTTTTGGCGCAAATTTGTTTTCAGTTTACGATTGACAAATCTGTTCTCAGTTTGTTGTGTCAATCTCTCGTCGCATTGTTAGTGACAGATCTGCTTTGGCATTACACCCAACTTGATGTTAGGATATGCTTTCAACTCTTGATTGCAATTGGGGCGCACTTGAGGACACAGTAGACTCTGGATTTGCAGCCGTATTTGGCCGTATTTTGTTTCCCGATTGTTAACAATTTTCAAGTAAATAATTAGCTGCACAGTTAGCTGTCTTACAAACAGGTCGTGCAACTTCAGTGGAAGGAAGGGCGAAATTAGATTTCGTTTGGCCTGCGGCCGTAAAGAGTGGTACGATCGAGGGACGTCGTGCAAACATATATATACAATATGTATATATATAAGTAGGAATACTAGGGGGGTTCTAACCCGGGTCCTCTGAGGGGGGTGCGGGGCGGGGGGGTATTCGGGGGCGAGGGAGTATGACGTCACGCGGGCGGGGGTCTTATCAGCAGATAAGCTTATCTTATCAGCTCATGTTACCTTATATGTTTATAAACAAAAGATAAACATTCCAGCAATATCTATTACAAAAGGGCTGCCGACAATCAGGGGGGGGGTTGCGTTTCTTCCCCCATACGTTATCTGTATATTTCTAAGAAATATAATCAAATTTTAAGAAGGGCCACCGCTTGGCATGCGCCGACAATCAAGGGGGTTGCGTTTCTTCCCCCCATACGTTATCTGTATATTTCTAAGAAATATAATTAAATTCTAAGAAGGGCTGCCGCTTGGATCCGAGCGCCGACAATCAGTTCTCTGAAAATCTAAGATAATCAAATTTTAAGAAGGGTCACCGCTTGACATACGCCGACAATCAAGGGGGTTGATACATGATCTATACGTATATTTCTAAGAAATATCAGCGGGTAAAGTTTCAGGGCGAACGTGTCACCGCTTGCGGCCTGCGACATGTTTTTGCATGGGATTGTATATCACCCTCGCGGTACCTCCCCAATAAGCGGCGGTTCTTTATTGTTTATCTTAGGAAGAAATACCAGCGCCGATAACCAGCGGCTGCAGGAATTTATAAACAAAACAAGCGCCGAAAATTTACGTCATCTAAATTTTTCTCGTTCGTACGTTGACGAACAAAGGGTTGATCGGGATATATAATGAGGATCGATGCCGCTGCCGGGCCATAGTACCACTGGCGAGCGCACGCTCTCTTCATTCAAGATGTTTGTCTTACTATCAAGTGCTTCCGACATTCTCAATTTAAGTGCCGAACAGTTACAATATATTCCGAAGATTGTTTTACTGCAAAAGTGCGGATATTTCGTAGAGCATTTGTGGGACAAGCTTCCGGAGCATATCAAGACGGATCCGGAGGTTCAGACATATCGTCGCTGCCTCGAACATTACAATCGGCCGTGGATGCAAACTCATATTGACGGTCCAGCACCGATGATCAGGGATTGCAGCGAATGTCAGCAAAAATAGGCTGAGGTTAAAAGTGTGAAAAAGTGTGATTTATAATATTGTATTATATATTTAAATTAATAATTGTTATATTTTTAAATTAATAATTGTTATGTTTACAGATGAACCATACGTTCCAATAATGGTTCCAGAGATGTTCGATTGGGACGCATTTTTAAGAGGCGACGACGAGGCCGACCTGCTCGATTGGGGTCTGGTGTAGCTTTTCACTCTACCAGACCTGTACGATGTTAGGCCTCAGCCAACACCGCCGTCACCGCTGCCGTCACCGCCGCCGTCACCGCCGCAATCACCGTCGCAATCACCGTCGCCACCCCAATCGTCCATAATGTAAATTATTTTAAGAGTTTAACTAGGCTCTGTAATATAAATATAAATTTAACATATATAAGATAGGCAATAAGAGCCAAATCGCGGATGACCGTTATTCTAAACGAAACTAAATTTTTCGTTAGAATTAAATACCTGTGCACAAGGCACCAAATTTTACTTGGACACGGCCAAGATATAAAATTGGAATAATCTCTACAAGAGATTTTTTTAATTCCATGTATCCCCTATTCCCCCTAAAGAAATAAATGCGAGAGAAAAATATTGATCCGAAAGTCGCAGAATCGGGAATCGAACCCGAGACCTTTCGCTTGCCGGGCGACTGCTCTTCCAACTGAGCTATTCCGCTTTTCCGCTCAAAATGTGCTCCATGTAATATAAGGCAATCAAAACAGACAGAACGGAACGCGCGGAAATGCGGGACTCTAGTAAAGTTTAGTTACTTTCTCTTCCGCGTTTCCGCGTTTCCGCGTTTCCGCGCGTCCATGTAATCGCACCCTCTCGCTGCAGCCTGTCTTCTTTCTCTCTCTCGCGTCTTAATTCGCCGTCTCTCTCTCGCCGCAGGCCCGAGCCGAATCTCTCTCACCGCGAGCCGCCGAATCTCTCTCTCTCGCCGCTACATACGATTTCTCTCTCGCGCGCTGTCTCTTTCTTTTCTAGTGGTTGCTCTCTCGCAAAGTATGTAACGGGTGGCGCGCAAATAAAGTACACCATGATATACATATAAGTATTTATTTGTCTTATATTTAATACATAATTATATATAAAGTTTTATTACATATTAAAAACTAAAGCCACCAGCTCGCAATCGACAAGTTGGTACATGTCGAAGGCGTTGCTAGCGTGTATCGCATTCGGCAATTCTCTCGCATTTGTTACAGTGGATGCAATATTGGAGAATTGCGTATGTTTGATATCAACCGTTGCGATGAGCCTCGTCAATCGATCGAACATTATTTCGATGCATGAATCGAGCTCGAACATACGACGTAACGTCGATTCGACCATCATCATGCGCACGTCCGCCGATTCGAGACTTATGAGCTTGGTGTCGTTTATCTTGTGAAAACGTACTGTTAGCGGCCCGACACTTATGAAGTTATACACATCGTTGCTGGGAGAGTCATTGTTCAAATAATTTTGAATAGCGTGACGTTGCTCGTAGAGTCCTTTCCACGTTTCGAGAGATAGTATTAGCTGTTTTCCCCGATGATCTCCTATGGCGATCTCCACGTAACTCGGCAGATCCACTCTGATGCAGATTTCGAGGAATTTGAATTCCGTGGTCGTCAATGCGTATCGTCTTCCTAGTATACAAACCGCACGAGACTCCAGCGAAACGCTGTAAAATTAGGAAAAAAAAATTAAAACTAA